AAATCTTACTTGACAAAAAAAAAAAAAAAATCCTGATACAGAACATCCTCAGATTCCAGCTTCCAAAACCTTACAATTCAGTTATAGAGAGGATCCCTTCCAGATATCACCACAACCCCCACCCCATCACAAATTCAAATGCTTTAAATTATATATTTACTGGCAAAATGAACTCACCTCCTTCTCTCTTTCTTTTCCCCTGACCTTGATGGCTTTCCAAAGCTGAGTTTAGTTTGTTTCAGCGTAGATTTCTTCATCTTGCCTCCATTTCCAGATTCCACCACTAAAAACTGGTAACCTATTCTATCTCGTGGTGTTCAGAGCATGAGCGGCTGACTTTTGCAAAGGAAAATCAGTAGGGATGCTCTAAGGAAAGTGGCTGATGGACCTACAGTTACTCAACCGGAACACTTTTAATAGGGCCTATATTTTCCAAAAATGAGCACAAACATATATTTGTTGAATGCTTTCCTATCATTGAGAACACAAGAATACCACAGTACACTGATATTTATAGTTTTAGACCAGGGGTGCCCAAACTTTTTTATACCAAGATCTACTTTTGAAGTTGATAGCATGCCGAGATCTATCAAGCCAAACACAAGGGATAGGCAGTATTTGCCTGCATTAAGTGCATTATTTATAAAGGACTCAAAAACATTAATGTATAAAAAATGAAGAATAACAGCCGATGCTGATGCCAACATCAATATATCATGCATCCCTACTATGGACACAACTTTAATTCCATCCATCCATCCATGCATGACTTCCCTTTAAGCTGCATCACTCATTATCCTCCTTCACAAGCAGCAAAATCAAATGTAGAAATTTGTGCCATATGTCATTAACAACCAAAGTCTATATATTGAACCTTATATTTCAAAAATCATTTATACACTGATTTGTATAATTTGTGCTTTAATTCTTGCAGGTTTCTAATATTTTAATTTTAATTCTGTGTCCTGTGAGTCGGGCTGTCTCTGCGTTGCTGGCACAGCTATTTCTGAGTCTTGCTGAGCTACAAAAGACAAAAAGATATGTTGAGTTTTATTATAGCATATCGTATTTTTTTCTTTTAAACTTGAGGATATATTTTATTGCATGTTGCATATTCCAGTAAATCTGTTTCACCTATAAATCTGCAGCTTTCCCTTATTGTGTCTCTGCTCTGCTTAAAAACAGATTTACCTGTCTACCAATATAATGATGCCAGAGAAAATCATTTTCAAGATATCAAGAAGCTCTCTAGTCTGATTCTCTATTCAATAAGAAAACAGATATGTGTTAATTTTAATCTGTAATTCTGAGTAATGGTCCTCTGAGAAGCCCAGCTTTTTTGATGTATATAAATGTACACTCTGTTGCCCTTTTTAGCTTAAAAAGCTCTGTATGTCTAAATAATGGATTTTTCGGTGGGGTCTCTAATTTTTTTAAACAACCAGTCTGCTAAATTTCACTGAAACCTATATCAAATAATAATTATGCTCCAAAGCGACAGATCCAACAACATTTTACCGAAAGGTGGGACTTGAGGGCAGCGGGAGAGCAAGGAAAAAACACGGACTGATAATGCTCTGAACACAGACAGCTGCACCCAACCCCTGCTACATTTGGCTAAAGTAAATCAGAGAAAAGGGGGGGGGGGGATACGGAAATGATTGGCGGGGACTGTCCCCTTCGTGCCCAAAGTTGGTGGGGACATGTCCACACCGGCGCTTCAGAAAGTTAAGCTAGTGTGATAGAATGTAATGTCGAATGCAATTTCCGTTCAGTTTTAAAAGATCATAAGGTTATTGGGGATTTTATTTTATTTTTATAGAAATGAGAATGCATGCTGATCTTTACATCAATCAAAGTCAGACCAATTTTCATCATATAGTTTGACAGTTCTCTGCATTAAAAAACAAAAAAAGAAGAAAAAAGGGAATATACAGAGGACATGACCTCAGCGTTCTCTATGCTGGTTACAGGGCTGCTTGCCCTCTGTCTATAATTCTTCTGGATTGGAGCATCCAGAAAAGCTCAGAGCTCACTCCACCAAAGGGATCTCATCCTCCACAGCGCTGCATGGAGGAATAACAGTGGAGGACATTGGCACGGCCGCTTCCTGGTCATCTCCGTGCTCGTTTATCAGGTTTTACCTGCACAATGTTTGTGCTTTCTCCAAGACTCATTCTGTTTTTAGAGTTCTAACAGAATGATCATTAAGCTCACCTGGACAACCTCCTCCCACCTCAAGTGGGAAGGTTTATTCGGTTGGGGACTTCTACTATTATTTGTGTTGATCATACTCTCTCTGTGACCAGAGATGACGAAGAAACAGAAACAAGCAGGCATGGTTATGTTGCAGCATTATGCATGGGTCAGCTGCTGTTTCCTTTGGGTTCCTGGCACCTTGGGGGTTGTTCACCTGCTCCATTCATTGTTAGAAGGTTAATTCAATTCAATTCAGTTTATTTATATAGCGCCAAATTCACAACACATGTCATCTCAAGGCACTTTACAGGTCAACCAGATCATACAGTCAAATTGATACAAAGTTTTCTATCTAAGGAAAACCAGTTGATTGCATCGACTCATTGACTCAAATACAATCCCCCACACTAAGCATGCTTGTAGCGACAGTGGAGAGGAAAAACTCCCTTTTAACAGGAAGAAACCTCCAGCAGAACCAGGCTCAGTGTGAGCGGCCATCTGCCGAGGCCGACTGGGGTTCAAGGAGACAGAAGCAGAGATACAAAAAGCAGCTGTAAACGGCGGCCCCGTCCAGGAAACACACAGCCAGGCAGACGAGCTCCAAGGCAGCTCCCATGTCAGAGGACGAAGAGAGCACATCCACTCAGTCACGGTCAGAGAAACAGGACCACACTGGAAAACAGGCCGATCTCCAACATCTATAAACAAGGGTGTTGATAGAAGCAGCACAGCTGATGTTTCTTTCCAGGATGGCGTCACAGCCAAACAGGAACAGACGAGGCAAAGCTACTCTGAGGAAAAGCAGAGAGAGCAGAAGGTTAGAGATTGAACTAACAGATTCTGCAGAATAGGAGAACAGAGAGAGAATGAAGCAGAATGATGAAATGGGGGTCCCTATGTCCTCCAAAAGTCTAAGCCTATAGCAGCATAACTATAGAGATAGCTCAGGATAACCTGAGCCACCCTAACTATAAGCTTTATCAAAAAGGAAAGTTTTAAGCCTAGCCTTAAAAGTAGACAGGGTGTCTGCCTCACGGACTAAAACTGGTAGTTGGTTCCACAGCAGAGGAGCCTGATAACTAAAAGATCTGCCTCCCATTCTACTTTTAGAAATTCTAGGAACCACTAGTAAACCTGCAGATTGAGAGCGAAGTGCTCTGTTAGGAACATAAGGAACAATCAGATCTCTGATATAAGATGGAGCTTGGCCATTTAAGGCTCTATATGTGAGAAGGAGGATTTTAAATTCTATTCTTGATTTAACAGGAAGCCAATGAAGAGAAGCCAGGATAGGCGAGATATGATCTCTCTTTTTAATTTTCATTAGAACTCTGGCTGCAGCATTTTGGATCAGCTGAAGGCTTTTAACTACAGTTTGTGGACTTCCTGATAGTAAAGAATTACAATAGTCCAGCCTTGAAGTAACAAATGCATGGACTAGTTTCTCAGCATCACCCCTGGACAGGAGATTTCTAATTTTTGCAATGTTCCTCAGATGAAAGAAGGAAATTCTAGAAACCTCTTTGATATGGGATTTAAATGACAGGTCCTGATCAAAAATAACACCAAGATTTTTTACTTTATTATCTGAAATCAGTTTAATCCCATCCAAATGAAGTGACTGGCTAATCAGTTTCTTTTTCAGAGACTCTGGTCCAAAGACTATAACTTCTGTTTTGTCTGCATTCAGGAGCAGAAAGTTAAGAGTCATCCAGGTTTTTATGTCTTCAAGACATGCCTGTAATCTATGTAATGGGTTGGCTTCATCTGGATTTATAGACAGATATAGCTGGGTATCATCAGCATAACAGTGGAAATTAATCCCATGCTGTCTAATCATTCTACCGATTGGGAGCATGTATAAAGTAAAGAGAATTGGTCCTAGCACTGATCCCTGTGGTACTCCACAGGTAACCTTTGAGCGTGTTGAAGATCTATCATTAACACTGTTCATAACTTGTCCTCTTCTTCCTCAGCAGCCGGTTTGGTCTTAACCTCTGCCCAGACCTCTCCATTGTGGTGTCCACCACGACAGAGAGGATGACAGCTAAATGACTGAAGATTGTTATCTCCGTTAGCCTTTGGTCTGTTGTACTCATTGTTACTGTTAGTTTGTCTCCGCTGTTCATAGACTCAGGTCTGTCATTCAGCCTCTGCCCTGAACACAGTGGTTTCTCATCTATGTGGTTTAGCTGCGCATGGTGCTTCTAGGTGAGCAAAAACGCACAGTGGAGCCTGAGTTGAGGCCCCTTGTGAGAACAGGTGGCTTAGGCTTGTGGTCCATTTGGACCCAGTGAGGCATGGAACTCATCCTGCTTCGCCTTTATCCCACTAGCGAGAGCCTTAAAGGGTGAAGCCTTTATGAAATAGAATTGGTTATGTATTGTAACCCCAGATTCTATAAATATAGGCATAGCACTTTAAGTTGTGAGGCTCACTGGTTCCTAAAGGGCTGAAGAAAAATTGCTATTTGGGAGCTGATTATCTGGTCTCGCTGTTATTTATACTGATTGGATTGGGGCCCACATAGCAGGTAGGTGTGGACTAAAGGTTTGGCGCTAGTGAGAGCCTTAAAGAATATGCCTATATTCATAAAATCTGGGGTTACAGTATGTAACCAATGTTTCTGTTTTTAGCTTGTAATTAGTATGTATCACAAGATGGTTGAGAGATTTGATTCTTAAAACTTTTACATTTTTTTACTTCTAAAAGTTGTGAAATAGGGTTTTTGATTTCTAAACATCACATCCAAATGACTAATATAACATACAGTCATTGTTACATTTTTGTTATTTTCTTAGAAGCTCTCCGTTACCTCTCCCAATGGAAATTCCCCACCATTAATCAACACAACAGACTGTAATGGAAGTGTGGAGGGTACCAGAAACACACCTGAGGAACCAGAAGAGTTGGACACAAGGGTAAATAAGTCGGGTCAAAAAACAATAGAGCTGAGCAAAGGTACTAAGAGGTGGTCATTGGTCCCCCACCTGCAGAACCATGTGGAGGTGATTGTCCGCCATGACCCCACAAGAGGAATTGTCAGTTTTAGGACAAAGGTGTTGATCAAGTTTAAGTTGGTGTTAGGGCAAGGTATGATCCCGTAATGCAGGGGTGCCCAACCTTTTTTAAACCAAGATCTACTTTTGAAGTTGATGGCATGCCGAGATCTACCAAGCCAAACACAAGGGATGGGCAGTATTTGTTTTTTATTTGCACAGGTGGAGAATAAACAGTAAGTCCAAAAAATGAGGAAATTATCAATTGTTTCAAAAAATAGGTTGCAAAAACAGAACTTAACAATTTCATAAGAACTTCACACCATATCACTCACTCACTCACTCACTCACTCACTCACTCACTCACTCACTCACTCACTCACTCACTCACTCACTCACTCACTCACTCACTCACTCACTCACCAAAACTATAGAAAAGAGCAGTCAAGATCTCCAGACAAAGGCTGTGCAGACAAAAAATCTAAATACACCAATTGATACACACACACACACACACACACACACACACACACACACACACACACACACACACACACACACACACACACACAGTCCAGTAAAGAGAAAACAAAAAACGTTAGAACTGTAAATTTACAGTCATATGTTTATATCACTGTTTATATATACATATATATTATATATATATTTTTTTATTTTTTATTTTTTTTACTACTTTTCAAGGCTGCACTTTAAAAAAATATGAAATTGTCCAGAGAACTGTTCCAAACTGAATTTCTTTTTGTTTTACACTTGTGTTATCAAAATGAAAAATAAAATCTGTCTAACTCTAAGATCACTTCAAAGCAGGAAGAAGGAGAAAGAAAGTCCACTATTTTAGGATGATAAACTCCACTGGGCATTGGCAGAGAAACTGGCAGATGGATTAAGATTCAACAGCAGACATCCCAAGTTCCAAAAACTAATTTCATGGATGTCATGGTCCGCAGGATTATTAGTCCAGATGCAGAGCATACACACGGAGGCAGAGGTAAAGTCCAAAGATTTATTGCTTAAAAACAGGGTTCTGGAAGGCAGAGAGAATAAACAGGTCAGGTTCAGGTACCGGTACAGGTTTCCGAAACAGACAGGCAGGGTGGCTCGGGCTTGCTAAACAAAACAATCCGGCTTCGAGTGACGCTCTCTTCCAGCTTATGTAGGGAGGGCTAATCAGTTGATGGGGAACAGCTGTCAACACTGAACCCAAGCTCCGCAGGAATAGATCCACGGCGCCGTCCGGATCCTAACAATGGAGATGCTTAAACCCCCCGACCCAACTTAAATTTATTAAAAATATATAAAATTCCTAAATTATAAATGTATATTGACCTCATAAGAAATAGAATTTTAATTGAACCTTATTGAAAAGAAATTTTCCTTCATGCAGCTCTCAGGGCAAGGGATATTTGCAGACAGGAAAACAGATTGAGCTGGGCACGGAATAAAGGCCTCTGAAAACTCTTGTCCCAAACAGAGCAAGCGATCTTCATCGCAACGTTCATGACATGCTTCATATTTAAATTATTGCCGCACTGTTGTTGATGAATGAATGCATGCAGTGGTAGCTCCAAAAATCCGGGAAAGTTTCAGACAGCTTGAACAGAGCAACGAATCCAGCAGTGTGCCCAACCATAGATGGAGCCCCATCAGTTGTGATAGATGTCATTATTTCATTATCTCTGCAGATTCCTCTTCCCACTTTAGAGTCCCTGGTAACAACCTAGCAACCGTGGCAAACCATGCCCAGCAATCAGCATGCATAAAAAAAGGTTCCCTGCATACTTTTTATTTTTCACCTTATTATTATGAAAATATACATTGGCCTCTCGTGATCAATGATTTGATTAGTGTTTTTTACAACTTTTTTTTGTCATAGCTAGAAATAAGTCTACATTGTAAAACTTCTCACGATCGACTGGTTGGGCACCCCTGCCATAATGGTTAGGTATAGGGTAAAGGTATGTATAATTCTGTAAGTGGAATGATGCAAAATCATTGTTACTTAACATTAATTTAGAGATTAGTTTGGACCCCTGGTTTGGACTTACCTCCATAACTGCTCAAAACATCAGTAAGTAAATACAATTGTTTTCAGTTTATTTATCAAATGCTACTGATGCATCAAATTTTCCTATTGAGGAAATTCTGCTCTATTCTGTAGACCTTATGAAAGCTTATATCAACAAGGAAATAAAAGATTTAGGTGTGTATTTTAGTGAGCACCAAAAAATTCAGAACTGAATAACTTATTCAAAAAAGTATACAATATGTTTTCTTGACATGGTAACAAATATAAGATGAACAGACCAGCAAATAAATTAGAAATAAATATTGGCATATATTTTTTTTAAGTATGTAATTTATTTTTGTTGGAATTCAGGTAGTAAATCCATCCTTCCCTAATCCACGGCGAAGGCTTCGGCTGCGGGACCTGGCTGAAAAGGTGATTGATGCTCAGGAGAATGAGCAAGAACTCAACAAACTGCTTAACGAGGCACTATTGGAGAGAGAGACTGTTCAAGCGTAAGTTTACATGTTTTCCTTTCAAAACAGAAATTAGTTAATAACCCAATCTACATGCAGGAACTTTCTGTGTTTAGAATAAAGTAACTCATAGAATATATATAGGCTGGTCATAAAAGCAATTAAGGGTGGATTTCTAAATCACAAGGTTGGGGCATGGTGGTGATGCAGAGGTAACCCATTTACAGAAGCTTTGGTCAACGCGGTGGTCACAGGTTTCATTCACAATTTGATGACCTTTGCCATATATGTCTTTGCCCTCTTTCTATTTACATTTCTTGTCTGTCCACTGTCAGAAAAAGTAAATAAAGGCTACTAGTGGCTAAAAATAATGCTAAAAAAAAACACACAGACATGTTTTTTTTTAATCAACGTAAATCTTTAAGTTTATTACGTTGAAGACCTATACTCCAACGTACTACCCGTAATTCTCCCATTTGCGTAGTCTTTCAGCATTGATGGTTCTTTTGCATATTGTTACATGATTGCCAAAAAAAAACATTAGAATATTGTTTTGACAATCATTGAGATTGTTTTACACTCTGTCTCTCTCTCAAGATTTTGGTGTTAACCTGTCATTGTCATAATTGAAGGTGACTCTGGACGAGAGCAACTACAGAGGCAGGTGAAGGTTTAATGCTACGTTCACACCGGACGCAGCAAAATCAGCAAAATCGCGTCTGCTGCCTAATTTTTGCTGCTTGTACTAGTTAGTTCTGACGCGCGGCTTAAGCAGCTTTGCTGCTCTGGCTGCGCGGTGCAAAAGTGTGTCTGACGCGTGTTGGGCGGAGCTACTCTATCCTTTCTCTGCCTTGCAGCTATATTTGCTGTGATCAGTGGGAATAAAGTAGTTTTAATATGTTTTTAAGTGAGAAAATACACCTGAAAACGTAATCAGTGCAGTCAGTTCATTCAGATTATTATACTGCTTTCCAATATTTTTTCTGTCGGAGCCGCTCAGACCCCCACATACCAGCGGTGCGCCGACAGTAGGAATCCCTTCATCAGCAGCCTCTGGCTGGGTCGCCTCCTCGTGGTTCACCGCGGCAGCTGGTAGGTGTTTTTTATCTAAATAAAAGCCAACATATTCTGCCGGCAGATTTCTGCATTTTAAGTTAATTTAGGCGTCAATAAACTGTTTAAGAGGAGTGATCATAGCGCTCTGATCATCAGCGCTGTGTCTCTCTCCCTGCCAGCTCCCAGATCAGCTTCTCTGATTGGTTGACGCGGCGTGTCGAGCAGCACAAATGTTATTTTTCCATCTCGAGCAGCAGCGCGTTTGTGGCGCGTCAGATGCTTAAACGCGCTGCGCCTGCTGCTCAAAACGCGCCGTGGGACCTTTTGCTGCGCCTTGACGCGCATCAACCATTGACTTTGCATGTAAACTCGCTGCTTCTGTCGCGCCAGCTGCGTCCGGTGTGAACGTAGCATAAGGGGTTTATTGAAAAAACAAGATAGTGGATGTGAACTGGAAGCTGTACGGACTGGTGAGGTGCTTCTGGGCTTCTGCAGAGAAGATGAGACTGGTGAATGTGAGGAAACAGTTGCTGGAGGATTATGGTGGGCTGACACTCACTGTAGAGAGGCTGTGGTCCGATCTTGGCTGGAGTGTCCCCGGTGGTCCGAGTGCTGACCAGTACTCTCTCCCTGGTTGGTGGTTCGAGGGTGGACAGGCAGGTGAGCGCGGGTAGGAGGGCTGAGCGGTGGATAACCCGGGTTCCTGGTTGTTTTCAGACGGGGGGGTCCAAGGTATATGGTTTACGGCTGGGTCCAGTGGTCAGAAACAGGGGTTCTGCAACAAAACTTTCAGAGCAGGATTTAGGCAAGGGTTTTAGAATCTCTAGGACAAGGTTTGGGTTTGGTCTGTACCAACGCAGTGGCGTTAACGAACTGAAGCCCTCCTCCTGGTTCCAGCTCCTTAAGAAGGGTGGTGATCAGCTCAGATGTAGTGCACCTGCCCGTCCATCCCTGCTGAGGAGAGAGAGAGAGAGAAAATCTGGCCTGCACCCAGATACAGCCCAGAGTGTGACAGTCATGCACAACATCCTGGTGGTCATCGTGGAGAGAAATGTGATTTTGAGAAACCTTTAATATTTTACAGACTTTGATCTAAGATCTTAAGTCATTTCATACTGAAAGTTTGTGATGTAATTGAGATGTACAAAACTGTGCGTATGTGTCACCACACGGTTAAACTTCATACATCCCAATTTGCGTATAATTTAACCTAGCTAATGATGGATTTTCACTCGCCAAATCTCCTACCCCTAAATATATGCTCAAATAATAACACAGGGAAGGCAAAGACTTGTTAAAGTGGCTGAAAAGAAAGTCTGTCTACACTTCTATTTTACATTGTTTGTATCAAATCTTAAGTGCTAAGTCAGTCTTGAGCTCATTCATAAAAAATAAAAAAAAACAGTTATTATTATATTATCATATAACAGTTACCAAAGTTTTGGGTCAGAAGACATAAGTCCCTGGATGTTTTTAGGGACTTACCAACTATACAATATTTCAAATTTATTTATCTTATTTCATATGACCTTAAAACCGAGAGAAATCATCTTTAACCATTGACATTAAAATTAGGTTGTATTGTTTTTCAAACCTGCTTGGATCTGCCCTGACTTGGAACCTTGATCAGCATTTATTGAATGTCTTTGCAGTCTGAAGGGAAAACGCACAAACAAGCTCTCCTTGAGGTTTCTAGATCCTGATCTAGAGGTTCGTTTCTCTGTTGAGAAGGAGAAGCAGAGTGGTGCCGCCTTCTGTTGCTCCTGTGTAGTTCTTCTCTTTACTACAGTGATGGAGGCCCTCATAGAGCCCAAGTAGGTTTTATACAATACTATTGCTATTTACACTTTGTTATTGAGATCTGGTTTGTTTGGGTGTACATGTTCTCAAATTCTTTTTTTTTGTGCCTTCTTTTAAACAGGCTGTTTATAAACTACATCACCTTCGCAGTGGGAGAGATTTTGCTGCTTATCCTGACAAGCTGCTCTCTTGCTGCTATCCTTCCTGGAGTGAGTTATAAACCTATTTCTAGAGGTTTAATATTGATATCACTTCTTTCAAAACTTGTATCTAGTTCTGAAAAGCTTTGAAATAGTTGCTCTGACAGCTTGCATCACCAAAAACACAAGGTAAAATCAGTAAATCTTATTCGCATTGAAAATACAAACCTACTGAAAATATTGCTGTAGGCCTGTTCATACTATAAATACTGCAATAGATATTGCTTCTTCTGAAGTAATCAGACCATGGGAGCATAACGGTCAAAAGACTGTAAATGTCATCTGTCTTTGTTTCTACTCTACGGACATTTTTTACAGACCTCTACTGACTTTTCTTTTAATGTTTTTCTATATATCCAGACCCACCTGCTGGCTAATCACAACCCAACCTGAGTTAAAAAATGTATAAATAACTGCATGTTGTCCAACGACCATGTCAAACTTCACTTGCCCCGCTTCTCCTGTTAATACGCTAAAGCCCTCCAGAGTGTCTGGTACCAGGCTTCTCGTGATCTAAATTAGCCAATGAGCTGTCAGTCTGGGTTGCTGCTGCTAACTACTTGTAGACACAACAGGCAAACCTGGGGCAAGCCGGGCGATGGGAAAGAAGGAGAAGACGATGAGAAAAAGAGCAGAGAAAGTGTGGACTGTTGGAAGAACTGCTTTGAACTGGTGAAAAAAAAGTGAAATTATCTTAATCTTAAATGACAATCATTAAACAAATTAACAAAATGAGCAAATCACAAAAGCAAGAAGAAGAAATCATGCAACATATTTAAAATGTGGAGTCCATGGCCTTCCCCCCATAGTGGAGCTCCCGATGGTACCATGCAATCGGTCCATGATTATGTCAGCCACATTGTCCCAGTTGACGTCACTCCAACACCCCCAGAAAAGAAAGCACAAAATATATTAAGAATTTGACAAAATTAAATATAAAAATTTTAACCAAATGTGCGCGCTACAATTGGAACTAATGTCTTCAATATTGTAAAAATAAACAAAACAATACATTTATGATGCTGTGTATTAAAACTTATGAAAAAATGGTTGTGTGTTGGGTTACTGACCATGTGACCATCACACTTCTCTTTAGCTGATCATTCTATCAGTGTTCCTATTGTCCCCGCTCTCATTCAGTCTTCTTTCTGTCAGTCTTCTAATCTTTTTCCTTTCCTCTTCTTTCATCTTATTTTAATAAAACAGAGACATAACATAGTCAAAATACCTTCCAAACACATATAATCTTATACATATTATGATTATTATGATTGCTCTTGTTATCTCACATGATTAAATACTAAAAAGGCTAATCACCACAATATTTGGAGTATAAACAACACAATAAATTAACTTTATACAGTTGGTTATCCTTCAGCCTTCGGCGCTTTGTTTTTGGCAACAAGCTAAATTACCTTAGCTTTACTAAATTCAAGGGATTCCCACATAGCCTAAAATTATCTATGGAGAATTTCAACCAGGGCAAGGCAGGCATCAAAGCTGGCAAGCTTTTTGTCAATGGCATCCAGAATGTCCGTTCATTTTTTTTTCTGGCTTCGGCTTCAGGTGTTGCGTTGTTGGCCCGTGATTTCCGGGTTTTTCCGATCATGATGTTGTTTAAGCACTCATCCACAAAACTGTCAGGCTCTCCAAAGTGTCCTCATCCAGTTTGAGTAGAAAAATAGAATATTAAGCTTATAGTATAATTGTTAAGTGTTAATACGCTAGGTATATATTAATGGATTTGTTTTACCAGAATTAGACAATTTTGTTTATGTCATTTTTTCTCACACTTAGCTCTCGCGAGATCTGTCAGCTACTCTTCCAGTCCTCTAATCTGAGTTGCTGTTAACCTGTAAATTCTTAGGCTGGTGACTAGGATTAACTTATCTTCCGCAGCAGAGGTCACTCTTGGTTTTCCTTTCCTGGGGTAGTCCTCATGTGTGCCAGTTTCTTTGTAGAACTTGGATCGTTTTTGCAACTGCTTTTGGGGACACTTTCAAAGCTTTGCCAATTTTTCAGACTGACTGACCTTAATTTCTTAAAGTAATGACGGCCACTTGTTTTTCTTTACTTAGCTGTTTTTTTCTTGCCATAATACAAATTCTAACAGTCTATTCCGTAGGACTATTAGCTGTGTATCCATCTGACTTCTGCACAAAACAATCTGATGGTCTCTCAAGGTGTTTTAAGCAGTAATCAAAGCAAAAGGTGGCTTCTTTGAAGAACCTAGAAACAAAAGTTGTTTCAGTTGTTTTTTTTAAGTATATAATTCTACATGTGTTAATTCATAGTTCTGATGCCTTCAGAGGGAATCTACAATTTTCATGGTCAAGAAAATAAAGAAAAAACAATTTGAAAGAGAAGGTGTGTGCAAACTTTTGGTCTGTACTGTACCTGGCCCTTCTCAAATAAAAAGAGCGTCCATGCTAAATAATGCCAAAACACTCTAATGGCAATAGGGACAAGCAACGATAGACACATTTACTGAGGGAATTGTTCTTAGATGATATTTTTGTTCCTCCTATTTTATTTCATGCCATCTGTGGCCAGATTGTGATGTTCTTTCAAGCTTTAAAAAAATGGAACATGACCAAATGACTGACAGGTGTCTGCGTACAAAGATCCACCTTAATGTCTTTCTGCTTTGCTAATGTCATGGTTCTGCCAGGTTTCATAATTGAAGTAGCTGTTTAACGTTTGTTTGGACTTTTCAGTCCATCAGTGGCTACGGTGGCATAGGATGCAGCTGGAGGGTTGTTGGTTCTTCACTTGCATTGCCTACTGATGGTGGTCAGAGGGACAGGTGACGCCAGTGTGTGGCAGCCTTGCTTCTGCCAGTGAGCAGGAGGGAAGCTGTGTCTATGATTAGGCCTGTCACGATAACCAATTTTGCAGAAAGATTGTCTCAAAAATTATTGCGATAAACAATAATATTGTTTGAAGACCATTTAACACTGATTTAATGGAAATGACGTAATAATGCATGCGATTTCCTGCCAAAGATAAACACGCTTTATTTTCAACAGAACACTTAACATTGGAACTGGTTAACAAAATAAAATGAGAAATAAAAATCAAATGGGCTCTCAGTCTCTGTTAACTAAAAATACAATTTAATAAAAACTAAACACAAGATAAAAGTGGAAATAAATACGTATGTAAAACATATCAAGTGGGGATTTGTATGTTTTCTGGGGAATTCATACTGTCTATCAAATGTCTGCAACATTTTTCGAAATGCCGGCTTTTCAACAATATTAAATGGAAGCATCTCTTTAGCAATTAAATGAACTACGCTTTCTGTGAGCACCCGCCACTTTGTCCCGTCCTTTTTGTTTGCTGCCTGTAGATGAATTGCTTCAGTGATGGTGGACTGTCGCAAACTGGAAGACGCAGGCGGGCCATCGCTTGTACTTTTTGTCCCCAGCTGGAGAAACTTTTCTGAGTGTTTGTGCTTTAGGTGCATGTGTAGGTTGGTTTTATTGCTGCTCTTAGTTGCTACTGTTTTATGACAAATGTGATGTACTGGCTCCCATAGGTTCAGCGGTTCACCTCGGTTACTTGGTTTGAATCCGCAATACTCCCACACTGCGGCTGTCGCGCTCGGTTTTCAAACCAGTTCCATTTCGAGCTTTTCCCCCCAACATAAGATGTGTTTTTTTACTTCATTAACTCCTATAACTCCTCATGGGGCTCTAAAGCTGCAGAAGTAGAAAATGATGCGCGCTGACTACCTGATGCGATAGTCCACTCTTCCTCCCTCCTCAAAAATGAGGAAGGGGAGGGGTCAGTGGATAGCACCGGAGTTAAGCCTTTCAACCAGCATCATCAATAGAAGGAGAAAAACACAGGCAGAGACGATATAGCCGATATATTAAATGACGTGGATAGTTTTTATTTATCTTGCGATTAATTGACTTTTTGATTATCGTGACAGGCATATCTATGATGTAGCTTGTCACACATCAGTGTGTGTGTGAATGACTGTATGTAGTGTAATGTGCTTTGGTCAAGTCTCCTGACTTAAAAATATACTAAATACAGGCAATTAAGAGTTAGATTGCTATAAAAACTGGAATAAAATAGAAAATCCCTTTTTCATGTGGATTTTCTATTCTATTCTAGTTTTCATAGCAATCTAGATTGGTAGATTATAGATTGCAATGGTAGATAGCTCTGAAAACTGCTATTTTAAATGTTTGGTTTCTTTTTTTCAAAGGTGTTTCCCAAAAGGTTGGTGTCTTTCTCAACCTGGATTGATCACACACGTTGGGCTCGAAATACCTGGGCTATGGCAGCTATTTTCATCTTGACCGTTGCCAACCTTCTAGATATGGTATGCTGCGTTTATCTATTTCTACCAACATATAAGGTTATAGCAATTTGTTATCTTTTTAAAAAGACAATTTCTTTGCATCTAGAACATTAGTTTTTTAGAATGTTTTAACTAATTCTCATCTGAAAAAACCCTACCCCCTTAACTTCCTCTTAAAGGCCAAGAATGATGGCTATATAAATAGATACTTTAAAGTAACAAGTGTTTTCCCTTTATGTTGTTTATTTTATAGCTCAGTTGTATACCTCAAGTCACAGATTCAGGCAGCACAACAGCGGCTCCATTTTCTTCCTCATCTTCACAGTCTAGCCTTGGAGGGTGCCTGAACAATCCTAAATATTACAGCTTTGTTGCCGTGCTTGCACTTATAGCCACAACCATGCTCGTTCAGGTCAGTCACATGGTCAAACTTACACTGATGATTCTCATAACTGCAACGACTGGCATCGTTAACATCTACAGTTGGAAAGACATCTTTGACCGCTATGACACAGTCCGCTTCCAAGAATACAGGTAAAATTCCAAAATGGCAACTTTTTCTAAGAGTAAAGAATTGTACTTACACAGCAAGAACAGAGTAGTATGTCATTTTCCTTAAGTAGGTACAGCAGTAGCCATTCAAAATTTCGCCACTTTACTTGATGGGCCCGTGGCTGTTCCTTGGTTGGTCGTTCAATTCAATTCCATTTTAAACATCAATATTTGTACTAAAATATGCTTTCTGTAATGATTTGTGGACATTAAGATCTATAGAGAACATCTCGATTACATGGTCAGACCATGTAATTCAGGAGGGTTGAGTCAGAGGGGTCACTCCAGTGGCTGGAAGTTCGAGGGGATTTCACTGGGAGTTGGAGGGAAGTGGGCTGCCATTCGGCTGGCGTTTGACTGTGAAGGGCCATTTTGAATGGCTGCTACTGTAGGAAGAATAAAGTTATGTCTGTCAATCCAGATTTCAGATAAGAGCTGCAACAACTTCCAAACAGTGGTGTTTTTTTATGCAAAGATAACAAACTTCTCTGTCCTTAAGGAGTATGTTTTTGACTTAAGATAGATATTTGGAACTTATTTATTTTGAAATACAATGCAGACCATATGTTGTAAACATACATTACAGTATATTGTCAAAAGTATTTGCTCACCCATCAAATGATGGAATCAGTTGTTACAATCACTTCCCTGGCCACAGGTGTGTAAGATAAAGCACATAGTCATGCAGACTGTTTTCACAAATATTTGTCAAAGAATGGGTCGTACTCAGGAGCTAAGTAAATTCCAGTGTGGAACTGTGAATAGATACAACCATTGCAACTAATTCAGTTGTGAGATTTCCTAATTCTTAAATATTCCTGAACTGTGTGAAGGATTGCCTTCAAGTCAACGTGTCAATGCAATCAACAGGTTTTCCTTAGATTGAAAACTTTGAATCAATTTGACTGTATGAACTGGTTGAACTGTGAAGTGCCTTCAGAAGACATGTGTTGTGAATTGACTTATATAAATAAGCTGAATTTAAATGAACTGTCAGCTGTATCATAGGAAAATGGAAGGGTTTGTGAGAGAGTGCAGCTCAGCCATGAAGTGGTACACTACCTGAACTGACAGAGCAGGGTTGCTCTTTTATTTGATTATTGCATGAATCTGTGCTGAAGTGCATAGTGCAACTCTTGCTAGTCAATTACCAAAACAGTTTGGAGGCACACCCGTCCTCTTCCAACTTCATTGTTCACCATTGCACAAGGCAAGGTCCAAAGATAGAAGAGTCTGCTGTGGATGAACTTGACTATCCTGCACAGACTTCTGATCTCAACCTAATAGAACGCTGTGCACAAACTAACCTAAGCAAAAAAAGAGAAAAAATTAATATATTCTAATCTAATAAGAATGTTTAAAACAATACACAGATGGTTCCAACCTGCTTACCTATTGTGCATAACAGAAAGAACACCAATGTTATGGAAATTTTCAGGGTACCCCAACCCAGCCCACAAACTGCTACAACAAAACTTCAAACACTGAGAAGGTTTCAAGGCAATTCAAGTGTGTCCTTCGCAAGGGTAGAATGTCTATTTGATGATGAATGAAGTTTCTTCAGAAGTAAATCACAGGAAGGTCTATGCCATCTTTATTTTCCTGTAAAAGGATAGCTGCTACCCCAAATGCTCAAGCATCTATCTCCAGGTCAAACAGCAGGCTGATATTTGGGGCGGAAAGAACAGGAGAGCAAGAAAGCAAACCTTTAAGATTCTGAAACTTATGTTGGCATACCAGAGACCAAGTAAAAGGTTCAGAAGGACTGGTCAAAGCAGTGAAATGAGTCGCTACCATCAAACAATTCTTATGATAGGCAAGGAAGAAAATATTTGTAAGGTTTACCCCGAGAACTGGGAGCTTTAGGAGACCATATTTCTTTGATTGGGCTCTTATTACCACACAATCAGAAATAGGTCAGGGGACACTGAGGGTTCAACCTCTAACCTTTTGTTTGGAGTGTCTAAAATCTATTTTATGGGCAAATCCCTCTCATGGGCAAAGTTGAAAGTACACCAAAGCAGAAAAACCATCCACATGATCTGACTTAATTTGAATTGAATGCAATTTTGTGCACACAATTCCAATACATTGTACTCCTGTGCATCTCAGTATTGTGATTGGTTTGTTATCCTTTGGATTATCTGTTATGGAAACAGAGTCCCCTGAAAAAGGGTTTGAAACAGGGATCTAGCCCATCTTTCTTTTTAGACATCAGATTACTGGGGTGAGATATACTTTTAGCAAACCTATACCCTTTGTTGGTGTTGACAAAGCTTTATTCTTAAATGAAAAACAGTTAGCAATGACATTACCTGTTTTTAATGATGGTAAAATTACCTCACGTGAAGAAGGTATGGGCAGCTTAGCTTTGGCTTCTTGGGTGACCTGCTTTTGGTTATTGTGGGCATAGGGCAGTTAAACCCCTATGTGAACCAGGTGCAGCTACAAATGCTGAATTTTGGTATGTTAACATGAATTAATCAGCCAAGATTGCTGTTTTTGACAATGAAGTCACAATTTGCTCATTCAAGAAAACCACCAATTTCTCAGGCAGAGCATTCTTAAAATATTCCAGCAAGATTAACTTAGAGGCACATCACTTATTTAATAAAATTGCTGTCTCCCATGCAAACTCCACATTATTTTACACCTAGACCTCTTATCACTCCTAAATTGTTCCCTATAGTCCTCTGGCACAACTTCATAAGTTGTTCAGTCTTTTAGATGCATCCCTGCTTCAACACAGCTGAATCAAATGATTGATTACCTTTTCAAGCCATTCATTTGATTCAGCTGTGTTGAAGCAGGGATGCATCTAAAATCTGTAGGACAGTAGATCTTGAGGACCAGGGTTGGAGACCACTGGTCTAGATGAACCAAACTGGACTCCTTTTTTTCAGAGCTTTTTTGGGCTTGTCCAAACAACTATGATCTCCCCAAGGCGACTCAAAGTTTTTTTAAGGAACAATAAGCATCTGTGATGTTAAGTTTTACCTGTGCTTTTATTGTGAAACGACAACAGATAGCGAGACCTCGACAGGAAATGACATGGGTTGCCAGGGGTAAATGCATTTCAAAAGCAGAGGGTCTGGAAGTTAAGAAGGGATTTACTAAATATTTAACAATCATTCCAGCCACTAAATAAGGTAAACATCCCCACTGTAATATTCAATACCAGCACGGGAATGACATGTGATGTTATACCATAACTTTATTTCACGAAACAAGTGCAGCACTAACATCTGCTGGGATCGGCAGTAATTCAAACTGATTCTATCGTAAAAACAAAATTGAATTCGGAGTATAATGGGGGAATATTTGACTTCTGAGTGACCTAAAAATGTATCTTTTATATCTCTGAAACAACAGCAGCACATGTGATCTTTTTTATTCTTTTTTTTTTTTTTCATTTTTCCAAATTAAATGACCATTCAAAATGCACAAAACAGCACTTAAGAAGCAAAAACTTTTCAGTCTATTTCCTGAGATTTTTTTTTGTTTTCACATCGGTGGGGTTTCAGCTTTACCCAGTTGAAGCTGCTCCTATTTGATGGTATTGTCTAGGGTGTAAACACTGTGCATCTGACATGCACAGCGGTGAACTACCTGTGGGGCTCGCAGAAATCACCGCCTTCATCTTATCTTTTGTAAACACAGCATAAGAATCAATGCCACTTTCTTACAACTAGGGGCCTGAATTAATTCAAAGTCACTCAACCTCATTTAAAAAAGTCACAAGCACCTTAGTATTATTGTGGCTGTCTACAGCTCAGCAATTATATACCCTGGACGAGCCCCCCATTATTTTACCACCCCACAGTGGAAGGAGGGCAGAAACACAGCACAGCAGTAATAAAGGGACAGACTCCTTGTGAAGGAAAAGGATTTATCTTCCTCCTCAAGAAGTATATCCCAAAAATAAAATAAAAAATCTGTGAGGAAGAAAGGGGCAATTACATTAGCCCAAAAAAATAAATAAAACAAAACCAGTCTTATCTGTCATCTAAACCAAAGAAAGAAGAAACAAATCTGGCTATTCTCATCTAATAAGATGGCACCAACCTCTTTCGCAAGTGTTGTCACAGGCCGGCTCAGTGCCCATGACCAAAAGGAGGGGACACCAAACGATTTAGGCCAGACATGGGCAATGTGGAGTCAACAAGTCATCTCCATGTCATGTATTTGTTCTACCCAGCCACTGAAGCAGGTGAGTCCAATCTTCACCGTGAATTAAACTGTGCAGATTGGACTCACCTGGTTAATTGGCTGGGTAGATTAAATACATGACATGGAGATGACTTGTTGACTCCACATTGCCCATGTCTGATTTAGGCCAATCAATACTTTATTGTAACCAATAAATAACTTTAAATAAAACAAAGATGAGATATGAGTATGTAAGAATGTTTAGTATTTGCAGTGTATGAGTGGGTGAACATGAATGTGTCTGAGTGTTACCAAAACCAAAATGAACCAACCAACAAAGGAAGTACCTGGAGGAGCAGAGAGAGAGAGAGTGAGTGGAACCCAATTTATATAGGGAGCCCAAGTGCTTCCAATTAGTAAGACTTGCCTCTGCCTACAGGAGGAACCGCCCCTGCAGGTCAGAGGAAAGGGCCGTGACACCCCCCTCCTTAAAATGAGGAATCCACCCTCAACCCAACATTTGGCCTACATTAGAGCGAATTCAAAATGTTCCCCAAAATACAAATAGCTACCAGTCCCGGCTCTAGTAGTTGCTCTGCATCCCCTGACCAACTGTCCATTCCTCCATCTCAGCAGCCCTGGTACCTGGGGAGCAGTTTAAGAGAAGGAGGAAGAGAGAACCAGCAGGGGAGAGCAGAGAAACAAATAGTTAGTTCAATGGAGCACGGGACAAAGCATCAGCTATAATGTTACTTTTACCACTGATGTGTCTAATGTCAAGGTTATAAGGCTGTAGGAACAAGGCCCAACGCATCAGCCGCTGGTTGGGATTC